CCCTTTTTTTTTATTTGGGGTCACCCCTCTCCTTTTTTGGGGTCACCCCTCCTTCTTTTATTTGGGTTCCCCTCCTTTTTTTGAGGATCACCCCCCTTTTTTTTTATTTGGGGTCACCCCTCTCCTTTTTTTGGGGTCACCCCTCCTTCTTTTATTTGGGTTCCCCTCCTTTTTTTGTGGGTCAACCCCCTTTTTTTATTTGAGGTCAACCCCCCTCCTTTTTTGGGGGTCACCCCTCCTTTTTTTTTATTTGGGGTCACCCCTCTCCTTTTTTTGGGGTCACCCCTCCTTCTTTTATTTGGGTTCCCCTCCTTTTTTTGAGGATCACCCCCCTTTTTGATTTGGGGACACCCCCCTTTTTTATTTGGGATCACCCCCCTTTTTTATTTGGGGTCACCCCCCTTTTTTATTTGGGGTCACCCCCCTTTTTCTGGCATCACCCCTCCTTTTTTTGAGGGTCACCCTCTTTTTTTTTTTTTTTTGATTTGGGGTCCCCCCCCCTTCCTTTCTCCGGGGCCTCACCCCTCCCTTTTTTGGGGGCATCTACGGAGCAATTCCTCCTCCTCCTCCTCCTCCCCGGGAACCGAGCTCCGTCAAATCCTCCTCCTTCCCGGCCGGATCGTGGAGCCGCTGATGCTTCACCAAGCTCGACCGGACACCGAACCTCCTCCCGCAAACGGGACAGGGATACGGTTTCTCTCCCGTATGGATCCGTCGATGCCGACTGAGGTTAGAGCTTTGAACGAAACGCTTCCCGCAAGCCGGACATTCGTAAGGTCGTTCTCCCGTATGGAGTCGTCGATGGATAACGAGGACGGAACGAGCGCTGAATCCTTTTCCGCATTCTCCGCATTTATAGGGTTTTTCTCCCGTATGTAATCCTTGATGGCGTACCAAGCTGGAGCTGACCCGGAATCTTTTCCCGCATTCGGCGCAGGTATACGGAGTTTCACCGGCGTGGGATCGCCTATGGATAAGGAGATCCGAGCTTTGGACGAAGCTTTTCCCACATTCCGGACACTTATAGGGTTTTTCACCTGTATGTCGACCTTGATGGCGGATGAGATGGGATCGTTCGTTAAAGGATTTTCCGCAAAAAGAGCAGGAAAAGGGTTTTTCTCCGGTGTGGGTTCGACGATGCTGGATGAGATCCGAGCTTTGCCCGAAACTTTTCCCGCATTCGGGACATTTATAGGGTTTTTCGCCGGTGTGGATCCGTTGATGACGGAAAAGATTGGAACGAGCGCTGAAACATTTCCCGCATTCGGAACAAATACAGGGAATATCATCCGGGCGGCTCCGGGAATGGAGGATACGATCAGCCTTCAAGCTTTTCCCATAAGGAATTTCCATCCCGTGCAGGCGTTGATGACGGAGGAGGTTGGATCGACGGCTGAAGCATTTCTGGCATTCGGGACAACGATGGGGTTTTTCCCCCGTATGGGTTTTTTGATGGGAATTCAGGTGAGAATTCCAGGTAAAAGTTTTCCCACATTTCGGACAGGGATAAGGACGTTCTCCGGAGTGGATGCGTTGGTGGCGGAGGAGGTAGGCGCTGTGGTTGAAGCTCTTCCCGCATTCGGTGCATAAAAATCTCCTCTTATCCCTCGGGATCGGGTCCTCTGGGGTGTCAAACCCCTTTCCAGGGAGAAGGGGATGAGCCGAATCCATTCCCGGGGGATTTTCCTGATGGTTCGGTGTGATTGTGCTCATCCCAGTGCTGGCTGGTCCTTCGCCTGCTGGGAAATTTGGGATGAGGACGGGGGGGGAAGCGGGGATTTGTGGAGGGATGGGGGAATTTGTGGAGGAATGGGGGGATTTGGAGAGGCAAT